TATTCGGTTGCTAACACACAGGATGATATAAATAAAGATATTTATCTCGGTCTATTCGAGTGTCGCAAAGTGGAAATATTATACAAGGATATCGGGAGTACCGCAAAGGATCTCGTGAAAGGGTTAAGTCGCTTGGAAAAAATCGTCTTTTTCAAGTGATACCATCGGATAGTAGACAGTATTGCCGTTTATCGATTCTAACACAGTTACAGATACAAAGCTCAAGTTTTAGTAGATATGTATGCTAGGAGTAGTATTATTAAGGCGAGAAAATTTGCAACGCTTCACAAATAAATTAATAATGAATGATTCTTCTATCGTTGGCGTATGATACCAATATTTTCTATGAATATCGTAAAAAATACAATTTATTATCTGAGATGAATATGATATGATTTGCTTCAGGAAATAACGACGAAGTTTTATAAATATTTTAAATATATTAATATTTTTTCAGAATATATTACTTACTTAAAGTTGTATAGATTTTTTGTAAAGTTATATTAAAAATGTAGAAAACTATTGTTTTAAATTTAACTAGGAATTGTTTGATAAGAAAAAAAGTATCCTATATATCAATTTAGACTTAAAATATCGGTATACAAAGATTTATTAAAATCCGTTAGATGTTTTTGCTTGAAAAAGTATGTAACATACTCGTACATATGTCTTATAAAACACTTTCGCATTTATAGTGTTAGTAGTTTATAAATCACGAAGAAATAATGAAATATTTTTTATCGAATTCGTTAGTGATAAAAACGAACAAAATGTGAAAGAATGTATTTTCTGAAATGGTTAATTTATGGATCTAAGTCGAATAGTAGCGGGAAAGTAAAAAAATAAAAATATATTAATCTGTATAATCTAAAGATATACAAATTAATAATATAAATTAATACTAAATATGTATAATCTAAAAATAACTAAAATACGAATATGTAGACTCTTTATTTATGTTGTGTTGAGTTCAACAACACATGACACAAATTACATAAATAGTTCGGTGGCGTAGTAGATAAGCGCGACGTCCCGCAATCATTGTTGTTAAGCAAGCAAAGGTCGGTCACGAGATGGGCGACCAAAATATTATTATCTCGAGCTACTCCGTGCTTTGGAAGGCACGTTAAGTCGTTGGTCCCGCCTGCATTTGGCATGGCCCATCCTCCTTAACCGTCCACAAGGAAGGCCTAAGCTCCTGTAATGGGGACGTAAAAGGTCTGATGATGATGATACGTTACATTAGTTTATGTTAGTTATTTTCTACCAACATGGACTATAACTTTAACCTTTGAGAAACAGGAGCCATAAGGTGCAACCGCCTGACACTCTAGCCATGACGCAAGCCATAGAATAAGACACCTTAGCGATGTTTCAATGATATTTCGCTACATCTGGCAATAATTATTCGACTGTAAAGAAATGCAGTATCTATCGATTCATTATTTGAGTATGAACTGTGTAATAAACATATTTTTAACGAACTTCAAAATCGAAAAGAAGGAAGTTACATGTTCGACAGCTGTGTTTTTTATGAATGTTTAGCGATTTCTCAGTCAATTGTTGACCGATTTTAAAATTATGTTTTTGTTCGACAACTTTATCGAGGTGGTCCTATATAAATTTTATCAGAATCGAATCAGTAGTTTTCTTTTTATAACAAAACAAAGTATCTATTTTTCTAAAGTAAGTAGGTTTGTTCATCGTTCTTCTTGAATTGTGAACCAATTTCTAAGAAACCAGTTTCCCCGCGACTTCGCCTAAGTAAAATTAACGATATAGCTTTCCGTAGATGAAAGAATGTTATAATCGGTCCAATAGTTTCGAAGCCTTTTCAATGCAGACAAACAAACAATCAAATCTTTCCTCTTTATAATATAAGTACCTATAGAATATTGGAAAAAATATGTCCAGCAAATAAACTAAATCTCATTTACTAAGATTTAGTAGTTAACATATTTTTTAAATAAATATTAAGTATTCTAAGTGTTATATTATATTTACAAAATATCAATATCATTAAAAACCATGAAATAACAACTTTTTTTAAAAAAGAACACTTAATAATAACTTACCAACCTCTGGGCGACTTCAATAGCAGTTCCTTGAATTAATCGCTTTTCAGATAAGTGTTATTTATCGCTTTTTAAAAGTTTGAAGTCGGTTCTATTTTTGAAAAAAGTTTTTATACCGCTAGACTTTCTTTCTACTTGCCAATCATCAATTATTGCTGAGCATTTTCTAAGACAATAAATAACTGCGTTCGATTGCAGATGTTTGTAACTATTTGTCTTCACAAACAACAGTATTATTCCAATAAAACATGAAAATTCGCATCCAGTAAGGAACTGTCAACATGCAGCAAAGTGTTTGATAGTCTAGCAAGTGAGTATTTCCCATTGCGTAAACGAAACGGGGAAATGTTTGCTTTCAAGATTTTACCAATATAAGCAAACCCACTAAGTGCTATTTAATGGTTTGTCCACGTGGAGTATTTGTACTTTTACGAGTTTACATTCGACTGTAAATTGTATAGTTAACTAGAAACGTATATGTAGTTAGAAATTAAAGATGAAATAATAAATCGACATATTTATTAAGGAGATGTTTATTTTTATCTATTGACATTTTTTGCGATCTGTCAAAAGCATTCGACTGCGTTAGTCATGAAACACTGTTGGGGAAATTAGCGCATTATGGTGTGACGAAAAATTCACTTAATCTAATAAAATCATATCTTTCTGCTAGAATTAAAAAAGAAGTAATTAATGAAGTGAAATTTGCAGGGGCACCCATTACTTTGGGCGTCCCTTAGGGATCGATATTAGGACCATTGCTTTTTCTAATTTACATTAATGATCTTCCTCACTTTACAAAGAATTTGTGCGAAACAGTGTTATTTGCTGATGACACCTCTTTAGTGTTTAAAGTTAAGAGGGGTAATGATTGGTTTGACGATGTAAATGATGCTCTCGACAATGTTCTACAGTGGTCTGATAGTAATAATTTAAAGCTTAATTCAAATAAAAAAAAAATCCATAAAGTTTGCATTACCTAATGTGAGGCATGTTAATACACTTATAAATATAAATAGTGAAAAAGTTGAGTTGGTGGAATCGACAAAGTTCCTTGGTATTACACTAGATTCCCGACTGCAATGGGATCCTCGTATTGATAATTTGTTAAGTAGACTGAGTTCTGCAGCATTTGCTGTTAAGAAAATTAGACTCTTGACAAATGTTGAAACGGCAAGGTATATTTTAGTTATTTTCATAGTGTAATGACGTATGGTCTATTGTTGTGGGGTTCTGCGGCTAGTATTTTACAAAAGAGAGCTGTCCGCGCTATATATAATTTACGGTCCTCTCAATATATATATGAAAATATTATGTACGCAAGAAAACATTACGATTCCTTCACAAAAAAAGTAGTGTTCATAATCTTAACACAAGAAATAAAAATAAACTTGCCGTTCCAAGCTTCAGACTTCAGAAAACCAGAGGATCAATTCTGGGTAAATTCATTGCTATGTTCAATAAAGTTCCACAAAATGTAGTTGACCTACCATAAATAAATTTAAAATTCATGTAAAGAACATACTTATGAGTAAAGGCTATTATAAAGTTGATGATTATTTTAAGGATAGCAATGCATGGAATAATAGCCTTCGCTTTGTTTTATAAAGACTAATTATATGTTCAACCTATGTCCTACAGACTTTGAAAGTTGTATTTATTATTGTGATAATACATATTATTTTGGTAATGCCATGATTTATGTAAATGTCATTACTTATGATAAAAAGCTGGTAAGTTTCTTTCGCTTGTTCTTCTTGTCGGCTAAAAGACGTCCTGAACAAGTTGTAGGGGAAAAAAATTTTTTTGGACGATTCAAAAGTGCTTGTAATAGCCTACTTGAATAAAGATATTTTCATTTCATTACTGTCATTATTTAGTATTGACCTTGAGCAAAAATAAAAACCCCGACCCTTTATTGAGAATCATTAAATTAATAAGTTACCGACAATTTATATCGCAATGTATTGCCATAATTTATAGGTTAGGTAAATAATAAAACGTGAAAAATATTGATTCTTCAATAATCTACCTGAACGGAAACAAACAAAAATTAGTCATCATCCCAATTCGATCGATGCTGTAGCAAATTTTTAGAAGTAACTTGTGAATTTAATCGTAATCGAAATCTGAGGTATTTTAATATTCTAAATACTTATATTATTTCCAAGTCTTTAATTTACGAATGCAGAATTATGTTTAGTTATATACGAAAATGTAAAAAAAGAAAGAGTTGTACAACACGGTGGGGTAATATTTCATAACCATATTCTTGGAGATACTAAGATACAAGAAGTTTCGCCTGTTTGACGTTGGAGAGATGAAAAATTTACTATTCTAAGGTAACATGCATAAAATAGTTAATCATACCGTTGAGATTCACTCGTACCTATCACTGTAATCGCACATTAAATTCATTGTTATGTATTTCTAAATTTTTATATAGAAAACAGTTTCGCGAATTATCATGGACTTCTGTAACATTCAGCGGAAGATAAATGAAATTTAAAAATATAGAGTATTAAATCTATCTGGGTTTTCAATTTGCATTGGGGAAATTGCATTTTCAAGTCGCTGGCGACAAGGAGGCGCCTGCAAATATTTGCGAATGCTTTCGAAAGCTTTGCTCGAAGATTTTGCATGATATGGTAAAAAGTGATGAAGTGTCAAAATGATATGGAAAGAGGAATTACTTAGGATTTCAACGCTTTATTCTTTATTTTCTAGTAAATCTTTTTAGCATAAGAACAATAATACTGGTTGTAAAATAATTTTATATACTTCTTTTAAGAAGATGAAAATTTACATAACTCATTTTAAAATTGACAGTTGTCATGCGCATTTAAAAACTACAATAAAAATTAAATCAAAATTTTTAAGTGTATAAAAAATATTTCTTAAAGCAAAAGTGAAATAAAAAAGAAAATGGCCTGCTGTTATCATGAAGATTGTGGAGAATATGCCGTTACGCCTATGTTGATAGCACCATGCATGCCGACCAGATGCTGCGACGACCCACCTGTCTGCTACCCATGCTTGCCAACTTGCAATACATCTCAGATTGTGTACTGTTGTGAGAAACAGCGTCCGCGGCGGAGAAGCCCTGCCTGTTGTGAACACCATCACCATGACGGTGACAGCAGTGAACAGCATCATCATAGCGGTGACAGTTGCTCACCGCATCGCCGGCAGAAATCACATCAACATGGTCCCCGGCAAACTCCACCGTGTTCGCTTTCACCAGATTGCTGTACACCCTGCTGTAAGCCGGTTAAAACTAAATACGTCATACCATGTTATCGATATGAAGACGGACGAATAGTAAGTGATCTATTATTTTTTTAATCTTTTACCAGTATTTTCAATAACGCTTAAACATCAACTGGTTATATTGAATATTGATGTTGTTAGTTAAATTGGAGATTGTTTACTCCGGTCTTTTTAAATACCTTCCTGAAACCGGAAACTTAATAGTAACCAGAAGTTTTTAGTTTCAGGAACGGTATGTTCCTACCCGTCATGGTAGACTCCCTAAGTCTGCATACCAAAGAAATGGTATCCAAGATCAAATACATGGTTACAGAGGTGCTATAAAATACTTATGTGCAGGAGAAAGTTCATGTGGGTGTTGTGTGCACACTGCTGTTCAACCTTTACAGAGACTCTATCCTAGAATCACATTAGAAATGTTACCGGTGAAACGAAAGAAAGACAAAAAGTAAAAATTACAAGGCATTTCTGCAAACACCCTAAAAAGGTTTAGACATTTCGCAAAATAGTAATAAATGCCCACCAGGTAAATCCACTGCCGTCTTCTGCACTTAAGCGGAATGGATTGCAAGATCAAAAGTTTATTGAAAGTGGTGGTGTTGCACATATTCGCAAGTCTTGGGGTCATGCGACTTGGAGTGACTGTCCTATTAAAATTGCAGTGAAACCTACGAAAAAACTTCCTGTATTAGTATCCAAAAAGTGAGCTCAAGTCTTAATCAATAAATGATTATTTTTAGTAAGGATGAAGAATCAATTGACCATAGATAAAAATACAAAAATGTACATTATTATTCGTATAGATTTTCAAGACAACATACAAAACTGTTTAGATTTTGTTCCATGAAATATTAAAGGAATATTCATTATGAATGACAAGTAACATTGGCCTTAATAGCAATCTCTGGTCGGTTGCAGGTAAAAAAATTGCCCGTGTCTGCATTCAAACGTAACGGGATGCAAGACCAGGAGCACTCAAAACTTTTGGGTACAACAAATTTTCTTGTCAGACACCCTCAAGACGTGGCGATAGATTGCGACATTTGTACCTCTCGAGTTAAAAAGGCTGATCCTGTTAAAGTACCTTGTGAAGATAAAATACCACTAGGGTGTTGTTTACTTAAAAAGAAACCTATTGAAGTGTCCTTAGAAGATATTTTAGATGATTGATAATCATGACTATGTTTAACGGATCTGGGAGGTGGGCGTAGATTAAGACAAATGTTTCAACATCTCAGAAATTATGCGTTGAAAAATGGAGGCACCGCAATAAGCTGGATTTTCTTACGTAAGCGGATTTTCTAATATTTTAAGAAGGGTCGAAATAATCCGAGACTTGCATAATTTTTAGTTTGGCTCTTAATGAATCTTAGGTAGGTACCTTTTTAAATAGTTGCAATACATAAACGTTTTGTTTTTTTCATCTTTTATATTTTATCCACAAAACTGGCTAATACCTTTGTCTGTAATGTAAACAAAATTCAACAAGTATAAGCCTTACATCTTTGGCATATGATATACTTTAATTTCATGAATTCATTGGTTGCAGATGAACCAGCCTACGGTTTTGATGAGACGTGCTTGTGAAGTGGCCGTGGGTGCACGCGAACGTCGTAAACCCTTCGTGATGTCCACTTATAAAGCAGACGCCACCAAAGTCGAGCATCGATATCATTCTGAAGACGAACGGGTATCTTATAGTTAGTTTAACTCAAATAATGATAATCACCCTTACAAACATTAGAGTGAAATTTTAAGGCGAGTAACGGCAGTGGCGTTGGGGTATACATTATATTGAGTGCTCGTTGCACAGCTTTTGCAATGCTATAATATATTTCTTCTAAGCTGCGTGCGATACCAAATTATCTAGCCAAACGCTTTTGACTGTTATTAGATAATTATTGTTTGTATTAACTACTGCAAAATAGTAGCGGATTAATTTGAAACCTAAATTTTACATGATTCGTATCCCCTATTGAGTCGCAATAGCGCTTTCCTTCTGCTAACAAACAGCTGCTAAGAAATTCCTATAGAGAGCGCATCAGCTATGACCATCTACTTAAAAATCAATCTCAGCTTTGGCAAAAGCAATATAAATCAACATTATAGTTATTGACAAAGACTAATAGTTGGTTTTTATATGAAGCTCGAGAATAACTTTTTAATATTTCAGGTCTCCTTGCTTTGAGTATTTGACACTCGTTAGTCTGTCTTTATGTTATTTACAAAACAAAGTTATCTCTTAAGCAAAATTGAATATTAAAATTGAATATTAATGTGAAACAAACGAATTGACATCTATATGCTTACTCGTAGTTCTATAAATAAAGTCCAGACAGAAGTAGATACCTTAATCTTTGACGAGCTATGGAACAAAAACTGATGACATAGAAAAGCTAAAGTGGAAAACCTTGTGACATACAATATCTCTGCACAGGCACAACGGACGTTTCGAAATAGTGGAAATAATTCGCTCTTTTCAGGTTTTTCCTCTTTACACAACGAATTTATTTTACTTCCTACACAATTTAAGCTAAAGATTTCACCTGTATAGATTTTACAAACAAACAAAATTTAAAATAATTACAGGTATTATGCACACGCCTATAGTCATTAACACCCGCCATATTGGTACACACCTATTCTCCCATTCTATGCATTTCGTTTCCATACACTGGGAAGGCATGAAGCAATTGGATCATTAACAGGCTGGTGATAATGAACAGATATTATAAGTACAATTCGAAATAAAGTATAGTCACTGGCTTGCGTGTGACTTAACGAAATTGATTAGAAAAGTATGAACGTGAAAAATTCACTTTATCCAAGCTCTTACTAGTGATATGAGTATGTTAATTTTTCTTCCCAACAACCTTCCCTTTTGGAAGAAGGACTAAAAACCAATACACATTATGAAGTATGGATTTTTACTATAACAATATTTATTTTAATAAAATCTAAAAATATATAATAATGTAGTAAATATATAAGATATATAATCTCATAATCCTAGATTATGATAAAGATACGATCTTAATGAAGGTTCATTATATCACAATCCTGAATAAATTTAATTTTTAATCGATAACCTAAACGGTGAAAAATAAAGCTCGCAAAGTGATCTGATAAATAATATCTGCTGATTTTTATTTCGGCTAAAACAACTAAAATATGGTATTAAATGTAGAATAATTTTTATCAATATCCTGCTATAACATATATATTTATACGCGCAGAATTACATAATAATATTATTTCTAAAATACATAAAACGTTATTAAGTCACCGTATCTGTAAGCTATGTTGGATCGCTACATTTGATACTAACAAATACAATTTCCAAGTGTAACTGTTCGCGAATCTAGTGTTATCCACCGAATTAGAATTTTAATTGAATCTCGCCACTCGTTTACGAACAAAATTACGTAAGATTAGAGACGTTATTTGGAGGTCGGTCGGTTGGTATGTTTTTAACATCGATGGTGACGCTTCCTCGACCGCAGTGTTTATTCGCTCAACGCGAGGAGGGTTCAGATAGGGATTTATTCCCAACGGGAGCTCAAAATACGCTTCTCGTGATTGGTTTCCATAATCCGAGCGCTTGTGCTTTTATTTCACTCTTTTAAACAACTCTTGGCACACCTTTTGGTTCAATATGGAGTCGAAATGATTGAATATCAGCAGCTTTAATCGGGCTACAAAAATAAGACTTTGATATTTGGATAACTAGGATTATTTACTCATAATCATCATTACTAAATCAAATAAACGCCTCTGTTTGGATCTGCGAGCTGGTTTTTATCCTTATAGTTAGTTACCTATATCAAATGAAAATAGCATTAACATTTACTATCGCGATATTAAACGCAATGAGTATGTAGACATTCACTAATTGAATTAGTAATGTAGTCTGTTTCATTTGAAACATGGTTCAGATTGATGCAAATGAGATTTATACAAATTAGTTTTGCATAGGTAGGCTTTTTCAATTCCTATATATTTTTGTACAACCCTTTCGTATTTGATTTTGCGTTGACGAGACATTTTAATTGAACCTAAATCTCAGCCTCGTGACGAACTGCTATCGGCGCCGTAATCGCCATAAATCAATCAAATGAAGCATCGTGACGTTCCATTTTCTAAATAGGCGTCCGTTCTTTGCAAGTTGCAAAATCTCCAGATCTCATTCGAAACAATATGGAGATAACTGATAGCACCGGGAATTTAAAGTTCGCAGCGCTGCTTTTTATTGCTTCGTAATTAACAAAAAGTGTGTTTATTTACACGGGACATGGAAGCTTGGCAGATGGGAAGTTTTATCTGCGATTTTAATTTTTTTTTTACCTGAAAGTCAATTCATTTAAGGGAACCAACTCCAAATACCGAAAACCGCGACAATTTTTTGTCGTTTTTGCGAAGGGTTTTTTGAACTTTGCACTTTGGAGTGCTGAGGTTTTAGTGCGTGCTTTATATTATTTTCTGTTGCAATGTTTTAATTTGGCGTGCAGGGTAACTGCTGCTACCATTTCGAGAGGAAAAAGCAGGAAGTGCCTAGTTGCTGCTCGGTGCCATCGTGTCGTCGAAGTCCGTGCCACGTCAGCTTGTCCTGCCCCGAGTGCCAATATTCAGATTGTGTGCACGCACGGGCTGTCACCGGAGACAACAGTTGCTGTTTTTACTGTTAATTTGTATTGTCATTTTTTGGCTCCCTAAACAATTTGGCGGTTATGTTATTAAATGTATTTTTGATATTTTGTTTTTTTTTTTAAGTTCAATTATAGCCAAATATAACTTGAGATGTTGTTTATTACAGTGAATAGGATACTGTATAGAAATCTCCGCTAATGATCCCATTAGTACTATGTAAGTTCATAAAGACTATTCCAAAAGGTTCGCAGACTTCGCTAGGCCAGTCCAAGTAAAAAATAACTACTAAATTTACCTTTTATTAAAACAACCACTACACTTTACACCTTACCTTACTCTAACTTACGGAGAGAAGAGATATATGTAGATATAAAACTAGTTAATTTTAATCAAGATTATTGTAACCAATTTTAATCAGTTTGCATCACACAAAACAACCAAGAAGTTTATATATAACGGGCAATATGTTACACCAAAATATAAGTGTTTGTGAAAATTGGTGACACCTAGGAACAAGGGGTCACACTTAGTTTAGGGTTACAAAGTAATACGTATATAATTTGAAGTATATATTAGATTATTATATGAGATAATATAGAAATATAAAAGATAATATTTCATTTTTATTATTATATTCATTAAGGAAGATTAATAAATATGGAAACAAATTAAAAAATAAAATTTCAAATCATATTTTATCCATCGTTTCTTTATTCATGTAATAATTGTAGATTACTTCGTAATTTAAGTATATTTCGATACATATAAATTTTATCGGACTATTGGATTTTTTTTTATAAATTTTAACAATAACTATAAACTTACCTTTTGTTCTAATTATTGTATTTGATCAATTTCTCATTCACTATAGTGAAAAAATAATGAAAATTGCTCAATAAATCGACTTTGTCCAGGCGACTGCTCTAACCGCTGAACTACCCACGACCTAACTGACGATTTTTTCAAGCACTTGTTACTTTTCGCTATTACAGAGCGTATTTTCATAAATCTCATTAGAGTGTTAATATTCAGTATTAGGTAATATAAACACTTATATTTTTTATTTAATTTTAGTAGGAAAACATACAGTGATATCTTATACATAATACTGTAACGATAACTGTTCACTATTTACATGCTTTCACTTATATTTTATTTTATTTCATGATACTTTTGTGATTTGAAAAAACGATATAAAAAAGATAATATTATATAGTTCTTAATTAATGAATACTCTAGCCTTAACTTGAATACGGTTATTTTTTAAATAGTTGGATTTGAACAGAAAATGTCCACATCCAAAAAGACGTCAGCTGTAATTGCAGTTTAGAAAGAAGGTACTGGGAATCTAATTTTGATTAGGCAATTTTACCCAGGAGAATTACGTCTGAAATTGTCCTTCTTGTTTGAAATGGCAATATGTGATATCTTTTACATCTTGTCTAATAGTTAAGGTCTAAAATTTTGCAATGAGGAAGTATGTAAAAAAAAACACTACAAAAAGCACCCCACTAGATGGCGACTCTAGCAAAAGTCGATTTTTGCAGGAAAGCAATAATAACATATTTAAAACTGAAATTTGCAAAGTCCGAAACTTAGATATCAATAAAAATACTAAAAAGTACAAATAGAATATGAGTTGTTTATTGAGTTATGAGAATTAGTTTACTTTTATAAATGAAAGGAAACCGGAAGTGTTGTTATGGGAAGAAATCAAGAAAGTACCTTAGCGACATCTAATTTGATTTCGGTAATTAATGTTTTTGTTTAAATATTTCTTCATTGTACTGTCGGGATTTCATAAATTTGCGCTGTATGGCCTTCATTCTATTTATGTGGACATCATACATTAACCGAATATAAATAGTGAAAATGATGCCGAATACCAAATTAATATTCGGCGCATCTCTGATTATAATAATATTGATTTTGTTAACTTTAAAACAAACTATATGAATAAGTTTAAAATAGACTATGTAACGAATATATTACATATTTTTTTCATTGAATTTAATAATGGGATATTTTTATATTCACCTTCAAACTTGCCAACTGCACTAAATAGACGCCAGCAGGTAAAATGATCCTATAATATTGCAATTCTTGTTCTTGGTGCACGATGTAGTCCGCGCATTCGCCAGCAGTGGGACGCACACCGTCGCCGCGCCAGCAACGCGTGAAAATAGTTGAGATTGAACTATAACTTAAACATTTTACCAACCAACTAATTATATAATGTAAATTTTATAAAGTGTGCTAGTGCCTAAAGTTTTCCTTCTCTACTTTTGTAAAATGTGTAGGTATATGCTTTTTATCGAGTAAGTTCGACAATTATTTATATTTCCACATACAAACATAATTTCACCATAAAATAATCATAAAACTTAAAACTCACAATATTTAAATCTTAAAAACTCCTTGTTACAATCTGTACAATATTTAAATCTTAAAAACTACTTGTAACAATCTGTAGTCATAATAATAAACTACTTAATTGCGACTAGGTGTTAATGGTCCGTATGATCAAATACAAGAAGCTAACGTACGTTTACCCATTAGGCAAGTGGGATGAACTTAAGTTTTCATAATAAATTTTTAATACTAATACAATTATACAAAGACAAGATATACCGTGACTCAGATGGCCACAATACCATCTATCGAAATGAGAGTATTTACGATTTTTAAAATCTGCTACAATAACAACGTAAAATGATAAACAACGAAGTTATTTTGGTCCTGTAGGATACGTGATAGGTTAGAAATTACTACGCTGTGCTTCGCGATCGTCTTAAATTTTGAGGATTTTTTTAACAGATACTGAGATTTTTAACAGATACAAAACTAAATGATAGTTTTGGCTGCTATTGAATCAGCCGTCCTGTTGAACGGTCCAAATATCATAATGATTCAATTAAAAACTGACCAATTAAACAGCGGTTTTAACCAGTTGGCTATCCACACCAGCCCTTTTACGTCCCCACTGCAGGGGCTCAGGCCTTCCTTACGGATGGTTAAGGAGGATGGGCCATGACCCTCCACGCTGGCCCAATGCGGATTGGAGGGTAGGGCAGTTGGCTATGACATATACAAATGATATATCATTAGAACTTTTAATTGAGACACATATTGATATAATTAAAGAAAAAATAATCATGCTTTTTTAAATAACTTATATTGAATATTTAAAAAACATGTCACTTGGGATGTCAATGTAGCGTTCCCAATGATGTGCTATTAATTTATATCCCTTAAGTATTTCAAAAGATATGGTGGAATAAAAAGACCATATATACACCACACATTAACCCTTTTTTGAATATTCGTGTACAAATATAAATCCTTCTTAGTGATTAATATTTGATGTTGATTAAAATATCTTCTTCCTAGAGTTAGGAAAAGAGGGTTACATCATTACAAGGTTGATTGACGATAAAAATCGCGGAAACCTCGGACAATCGGTCTTTTGATTTTTTGGTGACAAGAATCCTCGATATCTTCAAACAAAAAATTCTTGTAATATACATATATAGATAGCTAGTACGCAAATTTCGCAGGTTTCGCTGTGAGACGTCTTTTAAACTATGAACGCAACAGATTTTTTACCACTATTTCATCAATATAAATAGTGATTCAAAAGGAAGGTTTATGTACATATATAATACAGGACAATTTTTATGAAATTTAAGTTTTCGGCTGTGATAAATCGATCTAGCTAGAGTATATTTACCAAAAAAGAACTTCAGTCATCCAGATACTTTAATTTTACATGAGTTTATTAAGTATGTATTCATTGAATCAGTTTTATGTTAATTGCTCCAGTTTCAGTGACTTACACTCGTATTATGATGTAAATCTTTTTTAAGAAATAGATAAGAATTTGAATGAAGTAAGTATATAGGTTGGTTAGAAATATTTGCATAGTATGCAAATATAACCTATATAGGTATTATTACTGTTACTCCACTATAAACACGAGTATTAGATAATGAAATTCAGAACATGAAGGTTGTCTTTTCAATGTTGTAAAATTAAAAAGAAACCACAGCTTCTATATTTTTTTTATTTTCATCAGAAAAACGAGCTGTAAATCTACATCCTGCGGTGTGCCAAAGAACTAAGAACTTACGACGACGTAGTACCTCTTTTTGATCAGAAGTTGTCACAAGATAGCAAAAACTCGTCGAACAAAATAGTATATATATATATTAAACTAATTGGATAGTAATAATAATAAATAAATCTTAAACAACATCACTTACATTGCTCAGATTCCTTAAATTTAGAAAACACGTGAGATCATACTTAGAATTGAAAAAAATATCATGGTTTTTACATTTCCCCAAATATATTATATTTTTTATTTGTGCATTTGGTTAGTTAGACAGCTAAGAATGACTAAGATTTTAACAAATAATGTCTTCATTGTCTAACCTTGGATTTCTTTGTTTCAGGAACGGGATGCTAAATTCTAATCGAATTTTTAACGAACTACATCTATAAGTGCAGTGAGGATAGCATAATTTTTAAAGCAATCATGTAAACATAATCATTAAGTGCTGAACTTATGATTTTATTAGAATAAAGGTTTTCGAGTGTAGTTACTCAAAAGTTGCTTTTGATTCTAAGGAAGTGCAATGAAAGGTGGTGCAGTGTGTGATAGTTTTGGTGAAGTGAGGTGAGGGGCCAATGGGAAGGTGGCGAATGTGGAGCACGGCGGGTGGCGCGCGGTGACTGCCCGCGCTCACCATGCGGCAGGCGCTGCCGGCATTGGTGATTGCCGCCGCATGCGTTGCTGCGTCTGCGCAGATCACGTGGACACCTATTTTCTTAGATGGCAGTAGTAAGTAGACTACTTTTGTTGCAATTCAATCGGTGAAAACTATGCCTATTACTCGTACGAATTATTATAACACCTATATTATATCTAAAAGAAGGGGGCATGTAATTTGTGTCAATAATTATTAATTTTAACTGGCAATCCGCCATTTTAATTTACACAAGCAATTCCCTTAGTTACCACGCATGGTATCAACACCTAACATCCTAACATATTCTAGTAAAAATGGGATATACATACATTTTGATTATTAAAGTGTTCTTCAATTTCGTTTTAATGGAGCTTTAGAACATCCACGAAATTCTATGGGAACATTTGAGGTCGTATTGATTTTTATAATGTTAACTCAACACGATTTGATTATTGTATTCCCAATAACCACTTGGGATTCTATTTGATGTGGATTTGACGTTTTGTTACCATACTGATTTCTATAGATCTTAAGGAGATATTTCTACAATAATTGAATTATTTTATGCATAAGGTGATAAAATCTTATTCCCGTTTTCAAGAATTTATTATTAATAATGAGAAAAAAGATTTCCTTATTGGTAATATCAAGTTTTTAATATTTTGTGATTTTTGACATGACTTTAATTAAATCATATCACTTTTATAATATTGTGTATTCATTCATAATATAGGTATATTTTAATAGTAGAAATACTTGGACATATATCGCATCTAGGGGAGCAATAGACTGGACTGGATTTAATTAATAATTTCCCATCTTAGTCTTCCTTACTAAGTGCTATAACCTAGTCTTAGGCGTTTATAGTTCACAACTGAGAAGAGATGGGTCGTTGAGACATTTGCCGAAGACGAAACGAAGCATTTTATGGACCTTGATCGACTAGTCGATCAACTAGTAATTTTAACTATAGTTAACGTTTGAAACTACGTTATCAACGGTATGAACGTTGGACAAAGTTTAACGGTTTGAATGTTTTACTTAAGCCCTTAATGTACTGTGGTGATGGTTTTTTTTTAATGTGCTCATACGAATATCTATTATTAGCTATGTTATGGTTTTATTTTGCATATAAAGTAACCATGACCAATTATTTCTAGTACACATAAAAATAAAAAGGCCTCTACTTGCTTAGGTACCCACTAGTTAAGAAAAAAAATAATTTGAATAGGCCTCGATTCCCAGGAGCTACATTCATGTGAATACGAACTATCGAGGACTGAATATTAAAATGGAAAAAACTAAATCAGAGCTGTCATCAAATACCTCTGCTTAAAAAATAAGTCTACCAACGACATACACAGTGACTTGATGGAAACTTTGGGGGACGTCCCTCACTGAAGATAACGTGAAAAAAGTTGAAGAAGTTGTAATGGCAGATCGAAGAGTGACTATCAGGCATGTAGCTGAGGTCACAGAGATTTCATATGGCAGTATTCAAAGAATCCTTACGAACGAATTGCATATGAGAAAGGTCTCCGCGCATTGGGTGCCGAGAATGTTAAACGACGAGCAAAAGAAGAAACGTGTCGACATTATAAGAGCAAATCTAGAAAATTTTCAAACAGAGCAGCAGAATTTTTTGTCGCATTTTGTGACCATAGACGAGACCTGGATCCACCACTATAATCCTGGATGGTAAAACTTGTTAGTTTCTTGCTTTTTTACTATCAAATGATAGCGTTAGTATTTTAATTGGACGTTTTTGAGAATTTTGTAATCAAAAAACGGAACCTTATTATTAAGTCTTTGCTGTCCGTCCGTCTGTTTGTTACCAAGCTGTATCTCATGAACCTTAGATAGATAGTTAAAATTTTAACATAAGATACATTTCTGTTGTCAAATATAAACAATTACTAAAAACATTTTTTTTTTGTTTTATTTAATGAAATATGTTTTAGCTCGATATATGGTAGACGCTTGAAAAATTTACAGAAGATTTGGTTACATAGGTTGGTTATATAATCACTTTAAAAATAAATAATTAAACTTAAATCGAACATATATTCAAGTTAGCTCTCATACATACAGAAGACCTGATTATTTGTTTTATGGGTACGGCACTCTTCGCGCACGAGTCCAACGCGCACTTAACCATTTTTAAAATATATAAATAAAAGAACTATTATAAATTTCTCTATATTATGATAATTAATTAAAATAACAAATTATAATCCCCAAAGGTAACTTAATGAAACACCTTTTAATACGTATGCAAAAAAAAAAAAATAATCATAGTAGAAATAGTTAATTCATACTAACTAGTAAAATTCTTAACACCGACATATCAAAAATCTTATAGCACCATCTATAGGGGACTAATGTAAACAACAATCAAGTTTAACATGTTTTACTAATTTCCATTGACTTATATTTCCGCTGTCAAAGTGACATCAAATCCTTATGAATGGAAAACAACCGAATACCATTGCCATTACTATTACAGATAAAGTTATGCGTTGCAGTTTCGTAACATTTTGATAGATGAACGGTGCGTTCTTCGTTTAGCCCTCGACTCTTAAACTGTTAACTGGCAACGTGTTCATTCTAAGTCAACGGTTAATTTAACTGGTCGGTTGATTCATCGCCCATCACTACCTGAGATCGAACGAGTTAGTTAGCGGCTCCCAAACGAACTAGTTCGCTCTTCTAGTTCGTGTATTCGTGTAGATTTCTAGCTTTTCGCTCTTTGTAGCAGGTCTTCCTTATATTTAATTATTTTAAAGCAGTTTGTTCGCTCGTTTTGATACTGCTTCTGCTGCTTCTAGATATTGAACATTCTAAATTTTCATAAAAATTATGGACACAAAGAATAACATAAATAGGCATATGAACTCAACGTAAATAACTAGATTTATTTTTTGGGCAGTGAATAATTTACTTTATATTTATAACGAGCCGACATTAGTTCGGTCACCTTCACCTTTACTCATTCTGTCACGAACTAACGAACTACGGAACGGGAAATATGGGAACTAGTTCGCCTAGTTCGTCTGTGGGAGCCGGTTTATCAAACCATTTCTTTCGCATGGTCACTACTACCATGTAGAACTTTAACCATCTTTCACTGTCAAACGATTAGTTTAATAATAAGGTAAACATTATAAAAAAAAATTTCTTGTCAACATCTAACTTTGTAATTAGAATTTGATTTTTTCAACACCAGGTCAAGTGGATCTTTGGACGCAATCATCAACTGGATGCGCGTGTCCAGGCGGTATTGGGGAAGACTGTGCGTGCTGTGTCAGAGACGGAGCATGCCCTTGTGGTGATATTGCACCAGCGCGATGTGCACAGTGCGGCCTCGAACAGTACTGTGCCAATAGTAAGTATAAACTGATGACCTTATTTACCCGTGATATTGTTATATACTAGCTGGTTTCCCATGCATAAATCTTGTCACCCGTGTTTGATGTAGCATCCGCATTTGAAGGAACTTTTCTGATGAGATCAGTATTTCTGTAGATTACCCCAAATAAACAAACAAAGGACAATGTTCAGCCCCCATAAATTTTTCTCCTAAGAACCTCTAAGCATGTACTATCACTTTTCGTGTTCTAAAGTATCTGTATTTACGTCTAAATACATTTTTAAGTAACGGACACTTCTAAGAAATGTATAGATCAAAAAATATATTTTGGATTTGAGGTTATAATTTTAACAATTGTAGCGCGCGGATATATTCTTTTTAATGTTTGTTTTACTTGCTTTTTGTAGGGAAATGTATGTCTTCTTAGCTATAAATATAGCTAGGTTCTGTAGGTACTTACTTAGCTTGATTTAAAAACAGTTTCGGAGCTTAGATTCCAGGTTTGTGGTCACTGGTTGTTATCGAGATTTCATAACAGACATTTAGTAAACTTCACTATCTTATTGCTTACGAAATTAATCTACAAAAGTCTGCATGCCAGCAACATAGCTTTTTAGGGGTGGATATTTTTTTAAATCGGTTATAACCTAGTTTTAGTTTATGTACCTATTCATTACAAGCTGGCATAATATTGGTGTATTCTAGATATATGATAATTAATGACAGTTCCCTTTCTAGCAGAGTCTAGTGAATTCGTAGTTTATTTCTAATCCTATAAACCTATCTATATTTTACAATCTTGGGTACCTAAAAACGATGGAATATTAATATTTTTTACACTACCTACTTACCTAGATATATATGTATGTATATAGATAAGTAGGCAGTGAAACTATTTAGTTCCACGCCCGTATCCGCGAAAGGATAGGCCGAGATGCATTTATGCACCCACATTTCGCGAGTTATGTTTTTGTTCTACGTAATAGATGGCGACGCTTGCTGTATCGGGAGCATGTCTCTACTCCATGCTGCAAACAAGAATCTAGTAACAGAAAAGTGCAATAACACTGCTAGAACCGTGAATAGACTACCTCGTCGGTTGCTTGTTGTTGTTGTCAAACAAAACTTCAAAAGTTCAAAACAGTCAAACGTATGTAAAAGAATAAATGAGCGCTTCCAGCCGCTTAAAAATCTACGAACATTTTGAGTCTCGTTTCAATGTCAAGCGCTTTAAGTGCTCATTGGTTGATTATACATTAAATTGTACATAGATCCTGATTTGTCAACTTATTAAAATATGGTGGCAGCATTTATTGAAGCTTATCAAATGTATTGATATTACTTTTTAATGTTATTACAAAAATGGGCAGTGTCTGTTTGATTTTAAAAGCTGATATATTGATCATAAAATATGATAAGAATTATGATATACAAGATATTCTTAGAGGTTCATAGGCTAATTTGGACATTGTCCTTTAGAAAATCTTTGTAATATTAATATAATAGCATCGCACAGCCGGCACCCAAGTCAGTTGACAAATCTAACGATACCTTTCGTCGAGTAATTTTGCATTGCATCGAGTAATTATTAGTTGTTTAAGCTTAACACAACACTGTCTTGAAAGATAAGACCAATTAAAACTCAACTCACAGCGATGAAACATAATGTTTAATGTTGCAGTTATTAGGGCAAACAATGGGAGACAATTGAGAACGGTCTAGCTGGTACCGGCAGCTCCCTCGGGTATTGAAAGCCAAATAATGTTTACCTTTTCCTTGAATAGCAGTCCATTATTAACCCTTAGGCAATATCAAACCGTCAGAATGATTTTACTTGTCCACTGAGATTTCAACAGAATTTTTTTACGGTTTCTTGGTCACGTTCCGCTTTAATTATTTTTTATACTTTTTGTTCTACTAAGGAAGTTGAATATTCGATATTAGTGTCAAATTCGTATAATAAAACTGAATAATTACCGAATATACCAATAATGGTTATATAAAGGGTACTTTGTACTTTGAGTGTGTTTTAGGATATGATTGATAGAAGAAATAATATACAATACTAGCTGTTACCCCGCGACTTCGCCTCTGTACTTACGGAGCCAATTCGATGCAAACAAATAACCAAAACTTTCTTATTCTAAACTAATATTATAAAAAGGTAAGATTTGATTGATTGAGTAGGCTCCAACACTACTAGACCGATTTTAAATATACTTTCACTGACCGGAACCTACATCATACGTGGAGGATATAGGCGGGTGAAGTCGTGGGAAAACAGCTAGTTATGATTTAATATACTAATATATATGAATAGGCTCTGAAACTTAACGGACTGACTGACCAAAATTCTTTCACCTACAAGAAGCTACAAGGTATGCGGGTGCTATAAGCGTTAAAGTCGTGGGGAAATAACTAGTATAATATAATATTCAATATCACATTAATAATTTTAACGAAAAAAGTAGTTGTTTAATATATTAAGTGTAATGTGTAGTGAAAGTGTATTATATTATGTCACCACAGTGTGTAACATCACCATTGACTCCCGAATTCTGAAGACCAAGTCGGGGAAGACGTTTGGTCAGATCAAATCACCATCGATAGAAGGACCAGGGTCATGCTCATATCTCCTGCAGCCCGACGCTGGTCAGCGCGTCGAGATACAACTCTATCGACTAGTTTCTGTCGGAAGATTCAATGGAAGCAGGTAATATACGAATACCTTTAGGTTTTAATGGCTATGTCAATTTAATTATGATGACTACTCCATTAAGCGCGTCATTAACAAAATATGGTGTAGGAATTACAACTCGGCAAATATAGACGTATCTTTAAGTTTGCTCATAAAACATTTTCAATATGATACGTATAGTATCAGAGTATGGTCTATCTAGGTTTAAGTATCACCTAGGTTACTCAATATATTTTGTAGTATACTTAATCTGTAGTTCTTTAAGAAGAAATGAATATTATGGTTTTCATGTAACGAAATTGACAACACTGTTGAAATAACATTAATTTTTTTATTAAATTTACTATAAAAGAACACTAAAATCAAAATTAAATACCTAATTATTAAAAATAAAGACTAAAAATAATTCTAAGTATACTAACTACAATAACAAACAAAATATTAAGAAAAATTGAATTATATTATACCCCTCTTTCCTCACAATGAGGGGATAAAGAGATTTATAGTAATCTTTTTCAAAACATGAAAGGGTCATACATAATCCAAAAAAATCCCACATCACGTTTATCTGTTCGTGCATGATGTTCTTAGCAAATACTGAAAGGATTTAAGGATAAAATCTGTCACAAGAATTTTTGGTGTATAATTTCTTTGTGGACGTATGTATATGACACAAGTATAATAAGATATATTTTTATATAAAGTTAAAGAAAAGTAACTATAATTTGCAACTCGCATAATTTAACTAAAATTAAGTACAAGTCAATGTTTATTTTATAATTCAATTTTATAATCACTCGAGAGACATTTAAATGAAAATTATAATATTTGACGTTCCGATCGACAAAATTATTCTCTTTCGGCGTACTATACGGTGTCAGACACGGATACGTCGCATAACATGATTTTATTCCAAAAATGTAGTGGATTGTCACAAAAAGTGTAGTAACACACTGTGTATATTAATATGTATCTACGAAGTAATTAATATAGATCAAATATTGCAATGAAAATTCAATCTACATCATATAATGTCACTCACTTCGACGAAGCGATACACCACTAATACGTTGCATAACATCACTCTTATACAACTTTTATAAGATAGTTATGTAACGAATTGTATTGCCGCATTTACTACCAAATTTTGACCAAGAAAATAAAGTACAAAACAGAGGCCAATCTATTCGTATATCTCTCTATGCGGGAAAAGTAAGAGATAAAACGAATCGTTTAATGCTGATTTATTACGCTATCGTTAATTGGGGAATTTTCTTTGTAGAATGCAGTAACTCAATGATGGTGGGTGTCCTGGAGGTTCCATGCTTCTGTAAAATGAAAACAAATAAAACCAACAACCAGAATTATAATTAATTAATATCAATCAGAAGATAACTAATTAATTAATATTCGTTAACCAATTTTCAGTAACCCCAGTGTTCCTTGAAAGGCTCAGTTCAGAAGGAAAATGAATTATAGTTTGACTGTTTGGTCAAATAACAATAGCTTGCTATCAATCTTAAGTTTCAGTACCGTCAGTTCATTGCTCGACCATAATATAAGTTATCTTGTGACGTAGGATTCTTAATAAAGCAGTAAGTAGTCAATTAGAATATTTGCAATCTAACGCAAACTCGTCATGAGATGTGCGACCAATAATGGAAGAAATGGTTTCTACATTCTGATTGTTTGATGAAAAAAGAAATTCTGACTTGCTAACGTCAAGGTTATCTATAATATTTATATTTAAAAGATTTAAAGTAGCCCAAGAAAAATCAAATTTACCGTGTGTGTCTTCGATCCCATTCACGCATATCACTCATTAAAACTTTAACTTCTTTAGATGACTCTGGAATAGCAGACACCTGCTGATTCTCAGAACCTCTTGTCCTCTTGTACGCTGATTAATTATGAAATATAAACCCATATACCAATATGCAATGAAAATTCATACGTATTGAACTCGATAGGGAGTGGTTAAAACATTCGGTCAATAATACGGAAGTTAAGCAATTTCATGTAATACTTGGCATTTTATATATTGGTCCGATCGGGAATCGAACTCGGAACCTCACAGAAGGCGGCACAGCTTGAAACCGATGTGCTAACCTCTCGGCTACGGGGTCGTCTAGTTGCTTATTATCTCGGAAACATGGTATTCCTTCTATTATTTCACTGTACAAAATTTCAAATAAAAGTATCAACTCTTTTTAGAAGATATATAATACTTATGCGAAGTCGTATAAATATCGTTTAGGGTAAATGCTCGGTTAATGAATTTGGTAACGATTTTGCGTGGCAAGTTAATAATAAAGCTTTTAAACATACTTGTTTTCACTTTGGGACTTGACTGTTTCACTCCTAACCTATTGTCATGATATTCCTTTGAGCTAAGAGAACAGAGTGACTTGGGAAGTTTCGCTTCAAAAGTTCTATCGATGAGACCTGTCAAGCAATACATCAGAATATTCAGCCATAATACACAGACGATTTATATTTTCACAAAGTACGACTTAATAAGGCTTTCATTGCGTTAAACAGGTAAAAACTTGTTGTTTCCCCACGACATCGCTTGTGTAATTCTTGTTTGTTTGTGTGTTTGTATCGAATAGACTCCGAAACTACTGGACCGAATTAAAAAAATCTTGCACCTAACAGAAGTTACATTATAGAACGGTGACATAGCTTTAATTAACTTGGGCAAATTTGCGGCATACTGCTATTGTTATAAATAATAAATAAATTTAATAAAATATATAGAAAATAATTTGTTTGTTTCGTGGTGGTTGGAAATCGTTCTTGTTTTGCGTTTTGTTTTCCTATTCACCTGGTTGCGGCCTAAGGATTTTTTTCGCGGAATAAGATTTTATCCCGCAAAACAAATCCTTATCCAAGAATTATGAATCCAAGTTCTGTTTGTATTAAAAAATTCATCGAAATCCAACATAATTTACTTTGAAACATATATTATTATTATTATTATTATTATTATTATTATTATTAAAGTGCATACCTTTTTCCTCTACGAAACCTAACATAGAAACTGCAGTAGGTTCGCTTATTTGTTTTTTCGTTTCATTTTTAATTTCAGTAATTATTTCTTGACTTGTAGATGAACTAGATTCCCTTTCACCCTACAATAATGAATATATACAACCATATCCTTTAATAATGTCAACTTCATGATATGTAGAGATCTAGATAAAAAAAAAATTTACACAAACTAACCGGTGTCATCATAAAGTGTCGTAAATCCTTTCTGCTATTGATGAATTCCCAGAAACTACAGCATTTTCTTTGCACAAATTCATTATCTATTTCTTCTACTGGAGTGAAATCTATTATTAAATGTTGAGAAGTCAACACCTCACCACAGGCGGCGTCGCTGAATATACTAAAACGCTCATGAGAATTGGATTCATTACTTTTACCATCTAAAGAGGTGTTATTGCTTCCATGTATGACCAACATACTTGAACATTCATTTGATGTTTCACTTAATTGTTCTGGTTTCATAATTCACTTTGAGTTATTATAAACGTAGTGTGTAAATTCTCTTTGATAATTATTAACAAACTTATATAAACCAAAGAGTAATTTTAGATATAATTTACTCTTTGAATTTTACACTGGAACAAAGAGTAAACACCAATAACACAAAACAATAGAATATCAGATATCAGGTAGTATTTTCCTCAGTATGATTTTTTCGAGGTTTTTTCTCAGATCGGTTTTTTGGTATCGTATTGTTTAATTAACCTGGGATAAATAAGATGTAGGTGTAACGCGTTGCAATGTAGGTGTAATATTCAATTCATATATGAAAATTAAATTCATTTTAATAGTTTATTGTATAACTTATTTAATAAATAGCTTCTAAACAAACCTTCGTAAAATTACCCAAATTTGTACCTTTAAAAGACGACTGCCCAAGAAATACATTTTCAATTAAGAAACCAAGACTTTAAAGACTAAATAAAATAAATCAATATGTATAAGTTACAATATTTTGTCTTTTTTGAGCTAATAAATTTTTTAGATTGTATCATAGTTTTTAAAATTCAAATACCAATTATATACATATAGCCACTAGTTTCGACAATACATTTCTTATGCGTTTTACCTGGGCATTTTTATACCTCACAAGCATTATCCTTAAAATTTAATCATTAGAGAGATACGTTTCCGTTACTTCAAAATGGATATTTAAATAATAAAACCATAAAGAAAAAAACTGATAGATAACCTTCATCAAATTCTGACAAAGGCTCATGTTTGACTTCTATCTATTTTATATTGTAGAGTAGGGTATAAAGTTGTCACAAGCATACACCATAACGGTACGCTATGATCAATGTCCCGTCAAATTGAATATCTGTTTGGAGCACGCGGATGTCGCCATTCGAAAATCTCAAGGTACTTATTTCATCACTTTTATAAAAAACTCAAGCAATACAATATTCAGTCCTAGATTAGGGCACCAAGATATTTTAAGTAATAAGTTTCTACTCGTTAACCGTTGCATCTACCGGCAACTGTACTTCACTTATTACGCAAATAAACTTTGATTTGACTAGATATTCTACTGCCAAAGTACCTACACTCAATTTCTAAATATGAATGCTGAGATAATTTCTCTTCTTTTGTAACTTTATAAACTACGCGCCTTTAAGCTCTAATGAAGTAACGGTGATGTCGCTTTAAACTAATGATAATTGTAATGGACGTTTGTGCAACTGGCAAAAGATTAAGTAAAATGACAAAAGAATCATGAGACAGTATGATAAATTGTTTTATAAGTACACTCTTGTGTCGCATCCTGTGTCGGAAGAGGTAAGGGTTGGTGCTACCGTGTTTTCATTTTTTGTTCTCATACAAACACGTATCTGCTGCATAAACTTCACCCACGTAATTATAATGATTAGGTAGTTTTGGTTAACTGAATTTAATGGGTTTGTCGCGTAATGAAATATCCGCGCTTTTTCATATAGAATATTTGAATCCTTAGATTATATTTTGAATCTAAACGAATTTGCATAAGCAAGTAAATAAAAAAGGAACCAATGTTTTAATACTTTATTACCATAATAATACTATGATACTTATTTTTAACAGCCTTACATTCTTTCAGTCTTGTATTGCAGCAACCAAACCAACAATTTTTAATATAAATATTTCCGACGTGTATCCGTTCGATCATATTTTTTTTAATTTGTTTGCCCCCGAAGTATTTACCCCAGGAGCAATATATGTTTAAAGTATTTCTGTACACTAGTGCAACCCAGCATGCTTTATTATATTGTCATTTGCAAGGCATTTGCATCATATATGAAACTTAGATAATCTAAGAGATGATAAATTGTTTGAAGTTTATAGTCCTACCTATATTCTATTTAATACTAATTGCCCTCGAGGAGAATACTTCAGGGGCAGTAGACGGATTAACAAATTTGATGATGTGATATGATACTTAATATCAAGTCATAGTAGTCACGTCATAAGTACTAATTTTCTATAATATTAGCTTATAAATAAATCCCATGCTGATGAAGATGTGAATTATTTTGTAACTAAATAAAGTGAGAACATTATACTTTATTAAGGCTTATTTTGTCCTTTCACTGATGCTTGAAAATTTGTTTCCTGTGAAACAAATTTTCCTGTTCTAAATGTTTAAATCTCTCAATTAGATTGGCTTAAGATAACAAATTCTTAATTAAAATACGTTGACAGCTAACTGTAAGGAAGTACTTTAAAAGATTGCCGCTGAGCGAAAGCTAATGGACTGCTATTGGAATTTGCTTCAGACAATGTTTTATTATCATTTAACCAATTGCGTCGTTTTGAAAATTAATTTGATTTCGATTCTTGTATATTATATATTATTACAAGCTTTTATTTAACTTGCTATGTTATTGGTCAAATATTGTAAATTAAAGACCTATTTTCCACTTTTAGATGGAGCTGAAATTTTGAATATATTATTTGGATGACAATTTTTTTATACTGATGTGAATTAAAACTGATCTGATCATGAAGCCAGAATCCTTAGGACCTATGTAATTAAATAAAGCAATTCCGTTCAATTTTGTTTAATTTATTTATACAAGAATCTCTGGTTCATTATATGTTTAATAAAAGTATGTTTTCCAAAAGAATATTTATATTTTGAAAAACTATCGCTTTGACTGGTTATGTAAATTAAAGAATAAATATGAATAAATAACATTTTTAAAGATTGTGATACGATATTACTTAATACAACTATGTAAAAAGGCTTTATTTCTTTTTTATATTGACGCCAAGACTATGCTTCGCAGACGGAACGCGTTAACTATTGCGCTTAAAAATTCTTTACAAATCGACGACTCGACTATCGCAAGAGCTTAGATGGAACACATAATTGTTATAAATACATGATATTGATTTGTTCATACAGTTGTGTTGGCGGATGGATAGAGCTGGGCGGTGCAACTGCTGTCAAGAGCACCGAAGGAGCAGCTGAAACTCGTCTCTGCGGCGCTAATGAACGCTACTCACCGCCTGTGGTTTTATTTGCTGATCATGGTGCATCTACCTTAGAGTTTAGGTGAGTACGTTGAGCACTCATTATATTTATTATATTTCATAAATTTTATGTATTCACAACACTGTACAAAAAAATATTCTTAATGAAAAATGCTTGAAAATTCAGTTTGTCCCTGATACTCTGAGATGGATGATATTATTGGATGAGTTATTGCCTTTTAAAGTAGGTTTTATTTTATTGAATTTCTATGCGCTGTTTTTCCTATTTTTATAACAGACAAGCTGTTGTCCCGGTACTTCGCACACATAAATTATAGCCTATGTTAACCTCGTTTAACGTAGTCACCCGTAAGTAAAAGAATTTATAAAATCATTCCAGTAATTTGGGAGTATATTCTCTTTATAATATTAGTATTGGGTAGCACGTGCAAGACGTCTGTATTTACGCTGAGCAAGTATACCAGGATAGAAATATATGTCAAATTTTTACGATCAACGTTGAACTCAAATTGAAACGCGTTTAATATTAACTGATATTTTAAATAAGCTTATGTTGTTGTTTGTAACATGCGAGCTTTTAAAAAAAACAATGTAGTTCTTATGGTTTTATATTTGCCTTTTTAATGGACGATAAATTCGTCATTATTTTAGGCAAAAAATGTCATGATTCACTACGAAACTTAAAACTTACTTTTAAAATCCCAATTTAGTGGGAAAAATTTTAAAAAAACTTAGGTCTTAAAATCTAGTTTTCCACTATGTCACTTTGATAGGACAAATAAAGAATGGTGTACTGTGTCTAGGACATTGCCTTTTAAACATTAATAAACCTTATAGTCATAGGCACTAAAATAATGAAACAATTTTGGACTTATGATAACGTATTTATCTTCCTCACTTTACGAAGAATTTGCGCGAGACAGTATTATTTGCAGATGACACCTCTTTAGTGTTTAAAGTTAAGTGGGGTAATGATTGTTTTGACGATGTAAATGATGTTCTCGACAATGTTCTACATTTTTTTGATAATAATAATTTAAAGGTCAATTTAATAAATCGAATGCATAAAGTTTGCATTGTCTAACGTGAGGCATGTTAGTACTCTTATAAATGTAAATAGTGAAAAAATTTAGTTCGTAGAATCGACTAAGTTCCTTGGTATTACACTAGATTCCCGACTGCAATGGAATCCTCATATTGATAACTTGTCAAGTCGACTCAGTTCTGCAGCTTTTGCTGTTAAGAAAATTAGACTTTTGACATATGTTCATACGGCAAGATTGGTATGTTTTAGTTATTTTCATGGTGTAACGACGTATGAACTATTGTTGTGGGGCTCTGCGTCTAGCATTTAAGATATTTTTATTCTACAAAAGAGAGCTGTCTGCGCTATATATAATTTACAGTCTAGGGAATCTATCAGAGAAATATTTAAAGAAATAAATATTTTGACTGTTGCCTCTCAATACATATATGAAAATATTATGTACGCAAGAAAACATTACAATTCCTTCACAAAAAAAACTTATGTTCGTAATCTTAATACGAGAAATAAAATTAACTTGACGTTCCAAGCTTCAGACCAAACCAGTACAAAGGATTATTTCTCGACAAATGCATTGCTAAATAAATTTAAAATTTATGTAAAGAACATACTTATGAGTAAAGGCTATTATAAAGTTGATGATTATTTTAAGGACCGCAATGCATGGAATTAATAGCCTTCGCTTTGTTCTATAACGACTAATTATATGTACCAAACAGACTTTGAAAGTTTTATTGAAAATTTAGTGCTTGAAACATTCATCAGTCCGTTAGGTTCTGGGTAGCTCAGCGGTTAGAGCAGTAGTGCGGTTTTGCGAAAGGTCATGGGATCTAGTTCTATCTCAGAATGTCAATTTTTTCATGAAAAACGTATTTATTGTTTTAAATACTTATTTAAAAATTAGGCTCATGGACGGTAACAAAAATAATTATTAGCAACAACT